GTCTTTACGTTTCTGCAGTTCTTCTTCTACGCTGGCTGGTTAAAGGTAAGCCCAAGAAAATCTGTTTGGAGCTGGAATCTGAGCCAGCCAGGGGTTTTTCCCCAGCGTGTGCTCACCAGGGACCCAGCTGTGTTCCTTGGCCTATGGGCAATGTGCAGGTGCTGGCAGAGAAATGGGGAGTCAAGGGGGGGCTGAGGGTATTGCCAAGACCTTCTCAGTTTCAAAGTGTCTCACCCTGGAGATCAGCTCCACCTTCCTTAAGCTTTGGTCCTGACTAGTTTGGGGAAAGAGAGAGGCCGTGGGCTACACTTTACATGCAGTGGTGGTCTGCAGTTGTAGGAGGGCTGTGAGCAGGGGACAGTTATCTGCCTGTACCAAATGTCTCCCCACCACTGATAAGCCTCCAGTTTTAACCCACCCCTTTTGGGAGGAACAGCATTGCTCTGAATTCAACAGACATCACACTTGACTGCACCACAGGCCTTCTCTTTGCAGGGAAAGCTGCAGGTATGACCATGATGACCCTTGCTGTGTGTTCTCCATATGCAGGTGGCCGAGCAACTCATCAACCCTTTTGGGGAAGATGATGATGACTTTGAAACCAACTGGCTCATTGACAGGAACCTGCAGGTAAAGTGAAGGCAGGATGGGTCTGACCTGCAGAGGAACACTGAGGCAGGACTGCACCTGAGGGCTTAACAATCCCCAACAGCGCAGTCACAAAGTTCTCCTGCAACACCTCTGCTGCCCACCTCCCCTGCCTGCAGTGGGGCAGAGAAGCAGTTCCTGTGGCCCTCGATGCTTTCTTGAGGTGTTGGTGGTTGCATCTTTAGAAGGAGCCCAGGATCTCCAGAAGAAAATGGCTAAGAGAGCAGGAGGAGAGCATAAGGCTTCCCAACAAATATAAGGGTGAAGGGGCCAGCTCATTGTTCCCAAGGAGACATCCCAGGCTCCAGGAGAATGTGGGGCAAGATCTGTGCCAGGGAGAGCCCCCCACACCAGGGAAGATGGGACTTTTGGGGCGTCTTTGTACACAGAGACCAACTGCAGCTTCAGTCCATGCCCTGGCACACACGATGGATCCAGATAGTTTCACTCCATCACCACCTCTCAATGACCCATCATTCCTGCCTCTCCCTCGCTTTCTCCACCCTGTGTCTGTATCTAAAACAGCCTCCTCTGCTTTTTTAAGGGCAGTTAATGACAAAACAAGGGGAAATGGGTTTAAGCTGAAAGAGGGGAGGTTTAGATGAGATATTAGGAAGAAGTTCTTCACTGTGAGGGTGGTGAGACACTGGAACAGGTTGCCCAAGGAAGTTGTGGCTGCTCCTCCCTGGAAGTGTTCTCGGCCAGGTTGGATGAGGCTTTGAGCAACCTGGTCTAGTGGAAGGTGTCCCTGCTGCTGGCAGGGGGGTTGGGACTGGATGAGCTTTAAGGTCCCTTCCAACCCAAACCATTCTATGATTCTATGATTCCATGCAGTAACTCTCCACCTTCAGCCCTTCCTAACTTGGAGCTCTTCTCTCCTAGCGAGCGTAACGCTTTCCTGTCTCCTTCAGCATCACTGTCCTTCCAATTCATCAAATCTCTCCGTGTGAAAAACAACCCAAGCGACAGGAAACCACACAGCAGACCCAGCCACTGGCCTGGCTTCCGTGCTACACCGCTTCCTCCTTCGCCTGCTGACAACAAAACACATGTAACACTGCTCACCCCGTGTGACACGACATGTCCGCTGTCCCCTGCAGGTCTCCCTGATGGCAGTGGATGAGATGCATCAGGATTTGCCCATCCTGGAGAAGGACCTGTACTGGAATGAGCCTGATCCCCAACCACCTTACACCGCAGCCACTGCTGAGTACAAGCGCCCATCATTCCTCGGCTCAACTTTTGATATCAGGTGAGTGCAGCCACAGGGTGCCAGATGAGGTGCTCAGAGATCTGGTTTAGTAGTGGACAGGTACGGTTGGACTCGATGATCTCAAAGGTCTTTTCCAACCAAACAATTCTATGACTCTATAACAGTCCACGTTTACACCTTGGACCAGGTCTTGTGCAGGATGTTACCCTTGAGGAGCAAGAGCAAGCAGTAGTCTGTGAAATTTTGCTCGAAGATACTTTAGGCTCATCCAAAGATGATAACCAACATCCTCCATGGAAAAGGATACCTCAGACCTCTTTCCCCCATCCCCTCTACTATGAGCATCCCCGTTGTGGAGGGCCTCACACATATCTAATGGCAATACAAGAAGAAAGAGGTTTGCCACCTCCAGCAGCCTCTCCACCAGAAACCACCTTCTTGTGACTCTGTTAACAGCTCGTCTTGCCTTTCCCCAGCATGCAGAAAGAAGAGATGGAGTTCCAGCCCCTGGAGCAAATTAAAGAGAATGAAGAAGCCAACCACTCTACACCATTACTGGGACACCTGGGCCGCCTCCTCGGTGTCCAGTCACCAAGCTTCTCCAGGTCTTCTTCCCGGATGAACCTTCTGCGCAGGCGAGGAGAGCCCACATCCCCCTTCTCCCATTATACCTACCAAGACATGGGGAAGCCTGGAAGCCCTTGCAGCATCAGTCAGCCAAGGGGAGACTCCAGTTCACAGGAGCAGTGGGATAACGAAGATGGAAAACTAAGGGAGTTTGATGCCTTCATGTCAACCCCATTTTATGAGAGACCTGGTTTCTACAGTGCTCCACAGACACCCATCAGCTCTATCCCCATGATCTTCCCTTCTAGACGCCAAGGCCGCAAGAAGCCTCCTGCGCTCTCCAGCATCGCTGCGTGCTCGACTTCTCTTAAGGATGTCATTGTCAACTCCTCACCTTCCAAGGTCAGTGATATGTACAAGAGCCAGAGCTCCCTCGGCTCAGCTGCAAAGGAAACATTTATTTGGCCAACAGACCAGAGCAAAGGTCCTGACTCACTGGTAACGTTAGAAGAAGAAAGGAGCAACTCTAACAGTAAAACCAGAGAAGCTGCAACCACCACAGGAAGTCCAGGAGCTCTGTCCACAGCTTCAGACAGCCCTAAATTCCCCTTCTTTGCAGAGTCCCCAGATCACGAGAAGCAGGGTAGCTTCAAGAGTCTGAAGAGCTTGAAAGCTTCCCACCCACCCTGGTTAACCCTGGAGAACTCCCCATCAGCCACCTCCAATTCTGAGCATTCAAGTGCCTTTCACACCCCCAGTAACAAAACCCCCGGAGGTGGTGCCTCCCTCTGCTTCTCATTCTCTCCTGTAACATCTCCAGTGCTGCAGAGGTCCCACACAGGGAACATGGACCCTGATGTTCACAGTTTAAGTTTAGAAGATGCAGCCAGCGCTTCAGACCAGCATCCAGCAGAGGTTTCCAGGACCACGAGAGATACTGGAAGTGGAAGCACTAATAGTCCACCTACAAAAGAGTCAAGAAGGGCAGAGAATCCATCCCCCAATGACTCTGGCATCTCTCTAGCTGAAGGTGACTACGTGGGGCTGATGGAGGTGATCATGGAGACCAGTGAAAGCACAAGTGAAGAGCAGACGGATCAGTACAGCTAGAGGAGACCACGAGGCAGACGCAGTTCTGTCGAGATACCTGCTGGATCAGCGATGTTGCAGTATCTTTACACCTGGCCACGCTGGCACTCAAGGGCAGAGCAGCCAAACATTTCACCTGCTGCTGGAACAGGCAGCTAGAGCCCAGCCCAGGCTAAAGCCAGCACCAATGACACACTGCTGCTGGCCTCAGGTACAGCAGCAGCCACAACCTCAGTGTTCCAACAACCCCCCCCCCCCAAAAAAAAACCCAAAACCCCCAAAAACCCACCCTCTACATTTGTAGCAACAGTAAGACTTTAAGTATTGCAGACACCAAACTGCAGAACCTGGAGTGCAGGTGTTGCCCGAAACAGAAGAGGACTAAAGTTAATAATGAAGATACCTCTCCTGATCACAGCAACCATTTCAACTTGAGCTTTACGTTCACGTTTGTCACAAGATCCGTTACAAGTCTCAGGCAGGACTCACACTGACAAGATACTCCAGGGAAAGTGAGGGACTGAAGGAAGTCCCAGCATTTGTACACAGACCCGCTCCTGCAGTCAGGCCTTGCTGGTGTTTTCCATACTGGAAAAATCACGGGCCAAGGCAGGGCCAGGACCTCCTACAACAGGCGACTGCAGTCAGTGGTATTTACCCAGCACGTTGCTGCCTTTTGAAGTTTCACATCTGCCACGGATCTGAGAAGTCATCTGGGTGGCAGCAGACACCATGCAGCTGTGAGGTTTTACTCTCTTCCCTGAATAAAATAAATAAAAGCAAGGCTGAAGTCCAGGACCATCCCTTTTGTTTCCTCACTTTCGTTTCCACGCAACAACAGGAATTTATAGAAACCAGTTTTCTGTCTTCAGAAGCAGCTGAGAGGCTCCCACATGACAGGGGACACATGACAACTTCAGTCTCACCTCCCACTTCCCTTCCAACACCTCCACCACAGCTGCCTCCCCTCTCTCTGCCTCCCCAGGACAGGTGCTGGACCTGGGCAGGTGTCACCACCACCCACTGCAGCTCCCAACAGTGTCTTTGAGGCAGTTCCAGCAGCTTTGGTCCAACCTGATCACAGCTCCACATTCACAGGGCATTTTCTCCACACACAAGTGTGGTGCCATGTGTTAGACAATCAGGATGTCCCACAAGGCACTAACCCCCCCTTCAGAACCCCCATCTGACTTCACAGGGATGAATTCAGCAAGCCCAGACACTCAAATCTTCCTTTCCTTGAGGATTTATTACAGCAACAGCTTGGGTGGTGAAGGCATTTAAAACACAACTTGAGTCACTGCAGTAGATCTCACTGGATTAAAAATAATAATAATAATTTTTGTAAAAGCACAAAGTTAAACCTGATCCCTCTAACACGTTCCCTCACCCATATCCCACGTGAGATGGCTGTCACAACAACAACTATGGGGCACAATCCTGCAAATACAGGCCTCTTGCTCCTGAGAGAAAGAGAGAAAAGCCAATTTGAACCAAGTCACTTTATTGGATGGAGGGTGATACACAAAACACGAGAGAAAAAAAGAGAGGGGCAATAATTTGGTACAGAATCTGAGAACTGTTTATCTAGGTAAGCTGAAGATGCATGCATGGCTGGACAGTGAAGTCGGAGTCCCTCTGAAACCCACAGAGTGGCTCTTGGCAAGGCTTCAGCTCTCGTTGTCACTGTCCCCAAGGGTGTGCTTGTCAAACAGGTACTCTGCCATGCCGTATTTCGGTGCCCCCATCTTCCGCAGGTTGGTCACATGGTCACCCAGCTCTTTGATGGCTTTCACCTGTTCATCCAGGTAGTGAGTCTCAATGAAGTCACACAACTGAAAGGGAGACGAAAAAAAAAAGAGTTTAAGTTTAGTCCTGAACA